CCATGACATTTGGAACTGATACCTATTCCTCAGTTGTACTTTAACATTATACCCACTAAACATCCGTATGTTAGTATTGTCATTGTTAGCATGCTGATGTTAGCATTTAGATCAAAGCACCGCATGCTAGCCTTGCAGAGCCTCTAGCATGGCTGTAGACAGTTAGTCTTGTTAAAATCTCTGACAGCTTTCTTTGTATGTGCAAACATCTATAGAGTCACGCTTCTTCCCAATTTAGAAACATTTCTATCTGAAAAGACTTTGGAAAGTCCTGCTTCCATCACAGCAGCTTTCTGTTCTCTTTCTGTTGAACAAAAGGTTTGTGTAAGGATTTTAACTGATACATATCATGCCCAACTTTCCATTTTAGGATAGATATTGATTACTTTTAAAGCACATCTGAGTTTATCCCCAAGCTATGACACTGACCTTTAAACTACCCATTAAATACTGTGTATAAATCTTTGATAAAGACCAAAGTCGGTTGTGCTTTTACATTTCTTTACTCTGACAAGTAGGTTATATTTTTAATGCTTTGTGTTTCTGTGAATTTATTCTATTACTTAGATAATTTTGTGATTTCTGCATTTTCTATTTCTTTGCTACCTTTATGATCCCTTCCTCTGTCTTATCACACGTTGTCTTTCAAGTGTTTTTATATAAATATATAAAAAAACAAACTCTCAAAATGTCAGATTTTATTCACAGTCCAGCTTCTACTTAAAGCAAAAGTATTTCCTTTTTTATAGACAGTGTGTTCAAATGTATGACATGGACGATAAATCAAAAACGATGACGTTCTTCTTATCTTGCTTTTGACATATTCTCCAGCGTCCAGAGAAACAAAGCAGCTCAAGAGGGCTCTCAGACATCACAGTGACACTGTCATGCAATGATAAATAAAACGATGATACCATACATGACTCAGTGTACAGATCCGGAGGTAATAAACCAGTCAGAACCCACTGCTACACCACAACAATGCCACAGCTTTTACAGGGCTCCTTTAGCAAAAGGCCTCCTCAGCTGTACATTATTGATGGGGCTTAAATTGAATGTGCCTTTGTTCCTCCATCGATGGACACAAGGCGTGAGTCTCCCCTACATGGAGAGTAGTGGTGAGTGGTGGGGGATGGAGCAGGGGTGTGTGACTCACCCCCGTCCCATCATACAGCAGGGCGATTCATCCATCACATCACGAGGTGCCGCATCAATCATTAACACGTAGCTCCCTGTTGAAAGGATGATAGACAGCTTGACAAATAAGTTAAGATGAAGTGGGACAAGGTGATGCTAGCCTTTTTCACTTTTCAGGCGATTTATTCAAGACACAACAATGGAATATCCAAATGCAGGCAATGAAATGATCCTGAATAGAAATTGACATAATTCTAAGAGGAAAAAAATAATGGATAATGGATTCTCTCTCAGAGAGCTTTAAACTCGACTAAACTGAACTTGCAGAGTGAATTTGCAGACGCTTTCAGGGAGTCTGAATTACTCTGGCACAGACGACACTTAATACTTCTCTCATGGGTGGCCAACTCTCCTTAGAGAAATTCCAGTGTTTTTTTTTTTTTTCGTCCTCACCCAGGTGTAAGGGATGCACACTCTGATAATCTAAAAGCGCTGAAAAAAAAAAAAAAAAAACATTTAAGAGGATTTTAACTGCATGTACAGAGAGCAACTGGAGCCGTTCATCCAGAATAGGATTATTCTCCCTTTTGGAGGGATTTGACATTTTAGCTGTCTTTATTCTGACAGAAGTTTGCAAGTATACCAAAACCTCAAATCTGTTTGTCCTCAGTCAGCATGCCTAAGACTTGCACCCACTTGTAATTTTACCTGTTGAGTTGTGTAATCAGGTGCTGAACACCTAGACAACAGTATTTAAAGTTGAGTGGATCAAATGACTGTGTCATGTGAAAGGATGACTTTGTGTGTCATGTGAAACCGACTCTGCAGTTTCCCTCGCTTCTACGCAGTATTTTAGTGTCTTTTTATTTTTTGTTTAAAATGTATCCAAAGACTTTTAATTTAACTAACTTATGTAAAATTGTTTTATTATTTCATAGCCCACATTTAGCTGAACTCACTGGTATCTCACAATAAACGAGTCAAGTTTTTCTTTCTAGAATTATAAGTCTGACTGAAACTCCACAGCCTCCATTTACTTTTGAAAATGAATGATAATCAGAGGTTCAAGATCTCATATTCACACATCACACATAATGCTTCAGGCTACATGCCAATCAAACTGTCTTCATCATAGGCTCAGACGTTCTTCCCTTCCTTTGATTTCTCTTTTAGTCTTACATTTTGCTGTTATCAATGAGTGGAATTATTCTTCCCTTGTAAGACAATTATGGTCAAGTGGGCACCAGCATAGATTGTTTGAAGTTTGTTCAATTTATCCCACAAAACCCCCTGAAGGCTCAACAGTGTGTTTGGTGTTCTACATTCACCCTTGCCCACTCCGCTCTCAACACTAATTGGACCAACACTAACTTACACATTCCACACCGACTGCACTGATGCTGTACCTACACTTGGGCATATGCTGCATTCATATTGTATCACATAAACACCAGCTGCTGGCTGGGGATACCTTGGCAAGTCTTTGTTGGATATTTTGGATTTTATTGTCCTGCAGGCTCCAGTAGGTATACTTTAGTGAAATGTAGAGAGATACGAGACGATTAGCTTAGCAGGGCTTACTGTGGAAGAGGTGTTTAAGAGATGGTCATATGAGACTGAAACAATATAGCACAGAATATCAGTAACAACACTGGATCCATTAAATTTAAATTTTAAATTAAACAAACATCCATGTTTGCTTGATTTAGAGGCATTATATGTTATTAATTGGCAATTAAGTTAGAGCTTTCAGAAAAGTCAGTTTCCCAGTTGTAATTACGACTTGGATGTTAATGTCAATGGTTGGACATTTTGGGAAATACACTTAACTATTTGCTTTCTTGCTCAGAGTTACATGAGAAGATCAACACCTCTCTCATATCTGTCTATTCGCTGGAGCTAACTGCTAAGCTGAAACCAGGAGACTGTTAGCTAAGCTTAGCATAATGGAAATGTAATAAGGGGGACACAACTAGGCCGGACCTTTCCAAAGGTAACAAAATCTGTCTACCTGCATCTCTAATGCTCAGTAATTAACTTATTTGCTTTCCTTCTTGTTTCCACTGTTGCCACTCTTTATGCTAAGCTTAAGCTAACAGTGGTTCCAGCTTAGCTGTTACTTCAGCTAATAGATATGACAGTAGTGTCAATCTTCTCATCTACATAACTCTCTGCAAGAAACCAAATCATTGGATTTCCTAAAATGTTGAACTATTCCCTTAAACATCTGCAGGATACAATGTGGGGTGTCTGGCTTGTTCTTCTCCTGCTTCCTTTGATATGACGTGAACATTATTTTATATTTTGCCCACAGATTCACAGCTTCACTGTCTCATTACAAAAGGTTAATGGAACAGCTGGACCTTCCAGCTCAGCAGTGTAGCAGAGACCTACCTTTGTAAGGCTTTTTCACATTTATCTATCTTGAACCCATCCCCACCTTTATTTTTTTAGCACATCACATCAGCCTATTAGCACAGCACTGACACTGTTTATTAAAAGACATCATGTTCATATGCCTGCCCTAAATTACAAATGGTCCATCGACTGTGCTGTCTACTAAACTTAATGTACAGCCTACAGACAGACTCATATGCATATTAATTAGAATGGAAGTGACAGGACAATTTTTCTTTCAGCTGAGGACAAAACAGACCAAAATGTTAAGGCCAGTATAAAAAAAAGAGCACAATTTCATCTGCATCCTAAACAGATTTTTAATGGCAGCAATACACATGTCCCTTACAAAGATGCATCACAACATGAGTTGACTTTAAATATGGGCAGATACATTAAAATATGCACTGTCAAGAGCAACATAAGCAGCAAGTGCACCACAAATTTCACAATGCTCTTTCCCCCACAGCTATTAACATTATAAAGGGCAAAGCAAAGGTTAATGTCCACACCATTAGAGATTGACAGAGCATGCGTTTATCCCTGTTGGTTTAATTAAATTACAGGGAACTCATAAAAGTGGGACTTATCCCAAACATACAGTAACTGCAGTCCTAATGGAGCACTACCTTTCAGCTCAGCTTATTTATCCCCCCTCACATTTCAAAGTGGGTCGTCTTGTCATGGAGTTTTTCATGGCCTACTTAACAACACAGCAACTTGTAATTAGATCATTTGTCAAGCCAGATGATTACTTCACTTGTTCTTTTACAGTTTACTGGGGAAGACATATGGCTTTTCAGAAAATCATTGATCTTACCTTCCCATGACCACATAAACTGCAAAGGCAACTTGTGAACTTTCCGGGCCCAAAGGAAGCTGAAGAGAAATAAGCTTGTGACAAATATAATCCTGACTGATTCATGGAGTTTGTTTTAATTAAAAATATTATAATATCTGTATTTTGGACATTTCTGGGTGCTAAACTATCCACAAAATGCATTACTTGCTGCACTGCAGGCTGGTAAAGGATGCAGTACAAGCCTTCAAAAAACAACATTAAGAAAATGGTGATTAGACACCCTCTAGTGGAGGATCATTACAAAAACATGGCTCCACCAATCTCAGAACAAACTTTATTTCATCCTCTGTGCCTCCAAAGCAAAGCACATCAAACCTCAAACTGAAGGAAAGTCCCGAAAGTATGAATTTGAAATACTGATATTCATATTTAACAGCTCTACTTTTTTGTATAATCTTCATTCCTCCAGTTATAAAACAGCATGGACGTGTGTGTGCCAGTTATACTGAGTTTGATGAATTAATCCTTTTCATTTCCTTTAAATTCACAGACTGTACTGAAGATAACCAAAGACTTCTTGTATGTCAGGAATTGTTTCAAGTGGACCATAAAATGCACTCTAACATAGGACTGAGTGTCTGCTGTTGAAAGACCCAACCTCTTGTTTCATGTCTTGCAAGCTTTAATAGCAATAATAATGCATGTGTGACATAAAGAAAGTGGCACAAAGTACACAGAAGCAATCATTCACTTCGTGGAAATATACAAACTTTCTCAGAACAGCCACAATAGATTATACATTATTACAAGTATTACTGATATAATCAGGCATGAATACATCATTAAAACAAGTAAATAATGCAAATAAAAACCTAAATATTCAATTCAATTTTCAATTTTATTTATATAGCGCCAAATCACAACAACAGTTATCTCAGAGCGCTTTTCATAAAGGAGCAGGTCTAGACCGTACTCTGTGATGATATTTACAGAAACCCAACAATATACCCGCTCATTTGTTTTGCTATCACTGCGTTTCATGCAATACCAGGAATTTGTCAGACTATTTCTTGCCCGGGACCAGTACTTTCCTGGAGAAAGCAAATAAGTGTCTTTCTTTCTTTCTTATTTTTTCTTTTTTATCATGCAGTGCATCATGATTGCAAGGTGCATTATTCAGAATTCACCTTCCACAACTTCTAACAGTCAATAGTGTGATTCAATGCAGCAGAGTCCTACATACATACATTATGCACCTCCACCAGTATCTGAATGTCAACTTGTCAAACTCATTATTTTATTTAAGCCTGCGGTGACCTCCATTCGTCACCGTTATGGGCTGCTGGTAGTTTAGCTGCTTCAGTTTTCAACCAACAAATGCCGCCATCATCACGGCTGTCACCCCTATCACAAAGAGGACAGCTACAGCAATTCCCAGACCAATGCACATGCCGTTGTCATCAGACTCACCACCAGACAGCGCTGTGCACAAATGAGAGTGGAACCATTATGGGATGCTCAATTCCAGCACACAACAGAAGACATTATGACTTCCTGCAGATAAGAAATGCTTTTCATTTCTAGAGGAATCTAATTAGTAAAAACTTTGTGAATGGCTGTTCTCATGGCAGTCAAGTTAATAAATAACACATTTACTCTCTTCTTTGGAGAGAATGGCTGCAAGAAAGAAAGAAAGTGTCAGTATTTCATTATGAGGGCGATTATATCCAAAATATTGTATTTGCCATAATATTTGAAAATAGACAACTACAGAGATACACAGAGTAAAAGGAGAAACATTACACGTTTGGCGAAAACAAAGACCTTTACAGGCTCTGGATCAAAAAACACAGATGATTTATGTGATTTTATGTATTACATTTTAATGAAGGTTAGTGCTACATGCAACATATTGTTGTATAATATGAATGTATATTTTCTGGGATCAGTAACTGCCTGGCTACCCCAGGGTAACAACCAAACTCCAGGAAATCAGGCGCCAGGCAAGGAATTAGTTTTATACTAAATGTAATGTTTTAACAGCTCGTCCTCACCAGAAAAATGGCTGTACAGGTTGAGACTTTTTACAACACATAATTAAAGTTTGTTGTTAGGCCGCAACCTCTTGTGGCTGAAGAAGTCCTGTGACGTGGTCTAAAGATCAGCAAAGCCCTTATAAAGATGGTAGTGGGGGCGATGGATGTGTCATATAAACTGGTTTAAGTCCCGTCTGAAAGTTGACATTTTTTTTACATTTGCCACGTGTTAAATATTTTGTGACTTACATCACGTGACTTCTGTAAGGTACCTTATAGTGTAAATAGTGTGTTGATAGTTCTACAAAACTGCACCTGTTCTTTTATATCCCTTTGAGCTGCTATGTTGACCTAAATTTCTCCCACGGGCGATTAATAAAAAGTCTGATACACCTGCCACTCGACTGGTACTTGTCAACGCTCGTACATGTTGTTTAGGAGAACAGTCAAGTTATTTATTTTTTTTATATTTAAGTATTACTTTTGAATATCTGTAAAACAAAACAAAATAATTAAATAACAGAATAATAAATAATTGAATGACAATAATAATAATACACCCAAAGAAATTTTTGAAACTCTCAAAAAAACTCAAGTGTGAAGAAGAAAAAAACTGTTGTTTTGGAAAACGGTGTTATATATCATTTTGGGACACTTGACAAGTGACCTATTTAGTCGTTTAGGTATGAGGACATTAGTGAGCTTTATAGTTGGAGTTTAGGTAGTTGGGTTCTGTTGCCTTTGCAATTTGCTACTGGCTGTAGCTTCATAATTAGCTTTCAGCCATGTGAGTGGTATCAACCTTCTTATCTAACTCTCAAAATTAAAGTGAATAAGCATATTTCCCAAAATGTCAAGCTGTTCCTTTAATTATGCATGTAAATTTGTGATATTGGGCTATATAAAAAATGGATTTGACTTGATTAAATCTACTGGGTGCTATCATTACAGTGTGCATATCTTTGATCTGACTCGTTTGCACAAAAAGAAAGACACATTGGGGACGTACAGTTTTCTGCCTCGGCCCTTATAGCCACTGTGAGCACAGATGGATCAGTGATGCCCGCTTGGAGAACCGTGGTCCCCACACTCCTCCTCTTCCTGTTGCATTGCTGTGGGTCAAACCTGTAGAAGAGACATGCGTTGATGATCTGGCTGGAATTGGAGACTCCTGCTTGAAATGCATGTAGTGCCTTCCTACCTTGAAGGTTCTGCAGGTGCGGGTGATGCAGTGCAGATAGTAAGTGGAGATGGTCTGATTCTGCTGCTCAATGAAGCGGAACACCAGGAAGTAGAAGCGGGCCTTTTGGCTATTTCCATTCTCCAGCATGGTGGTGAGCTTATCTACGGAGCACCTTTCAGAAAAGGCAAACAAGTGTCCCATTTTCACATCACAGGGATACATGCAGGAAGTGTATTAATAATAGAAAGGCAGGGCTTCCTATCAAGCCTTGAAGAACTGGAGGAAATTCACGTTACAATTAGTGGGCAGCTCTTTCACAGAATATTTTCAGGTGTTTTTGTGACTTACGAGAAAAAACAGATTATAGATGGTAGAGTTTGAGGGCTGTGGATTCACCGAGGCGTAGCACTGGTCCAAAAGAGTACCTGTGGAGAAAGAATGAGGTGCCCAGCAGCCAGTCAGACTCCAGGTCACAGGTCCTAAGATTTACATTCTATCTAAACACAGTCCTGTGGTTGGATACTAGGAGAGATCTAGACATTGACTCTGGTTTCCATGCATGTAGCCTTTACTGACATTGAGGATCTGTAGTTATCAAAATGCTAAAAGAAAAATTTTAATCTTCACTTTTACTCCTATTCACAAACATAAGAATAAAATCTGTTACACTAACTTTTTTTTATTAATCTTGTTTTGCAGAACAACATATCCATCCATCCATCGTCACCCGCTTATCCTGTGTACAGGATCATGGGGGCTGGAGCCAATCCCAGCTGACATCGGGCAAAAGGCGGGGTACACCCTGGACTGGTCGCCAGTCCATTGCAGGGCCACACAGACAAACAACCAGTCACACTCACACCTAAGGACAATTTAGAGTCACCACTCAACCTAGGCCGCATGTCTTTGGACAGTGGGAGGAAGCCGGAGCACCCGCAGAGAACCGACGCAGACACAGGGAGAACATGCAAACTCCACACAGAAAGGCCGGGGCAACCGGGATTTGAACCCGCGACCTTGGCACAACATATCACAGAATAAAATACATTGCTTTGGATGTGGCAACAACAATATTGTAGGTCCTCTTTCTGCTCAGAGTATACATAAGATTTATCATGTGATCACTTGACAACTACTCTTACACTTTGCTGTAAGTAGGGGTGAGTTACTTAATAAATGTGTCACTAAGCAAATAACTTGCAGTGGTGGAAGAAGTATAAATTTCCTTTACTTAAGTAAAAATACTAGTACAACAATGTAAAAAACTAAAAACTACTTAAAAACTATAACACTAAATTAAAAGTAATAATCCTGCATTAAAAATCGGACTGAAGTGAAAGTTTATAAGTATTATCAGCAAAATGAAAATAAAGTATCAAAAGTAAAAGTACTCATTCTGTATAAAAACCCTCTGTGACTAATGACTGATGGGGCCCTCCAGTGGGTCGCAAAACAAATATGAAACAAGAAAAAACAACGTTCTGCTTCACAGATTTTGATTGGACTTTTCTGTGTTCTTTATTTTGATAAAATATTGGATAATTTTACCTCTTTGGGCTAAGTTTAGAGGTGCTCTTTGGTGGAACTTGACCACCATAGACATCTAAAACATGACAAGTTCCTTAACTAAAATTACTTTTTTGTAAAGGGCCACAAAAATAATGGGAACATCTGGGTCAAAGGAAGAGAAGTTAAAAGAAAAACATTATAAGCTCTTACACAAGATGAATCTTTTGGAGATACAGTTTACATTGATGCCAAGAGGAAAAAAGTGTATGTATAGTACTATATGTGAGAAAGGTGTAAGGTAGCACCTGGTATAAGGACATGCTGAGGGTACTGATGAAGCTCCCATTGTTGTCCTTCAAAACAATGAAGGATGACCTACAAGGAAGAAAGGAACAAGATCACACTTCACACAAGTGAAATTTTAGGTGTTAATGTCTTTTTAACCTACAAATTACAACTTACATAGCCACCTTAGTGTTGTTAATGAGGTACTCCAGTGGATAAGGACATGAATAGTAATACTTGAGCTCTGTGTTGTAGGTGAGGGTGAGGTTGGAGAAGTCTGGAAATATACTGGTCCCTAGTGCACTGGTGGTCTGAAGAATTATTTAATGATAACATGATTAATTAAGAAATGGTTAAAAATAAATTTTGGCCAATGTCTCTGGCACAGCAGGCAGTAGTGATGAAATCACACCCAGAAAGTGGAACAACTTTCTTCTCCGAAAAAGAGACCGATAGGATTGCGTGTGTCTGTTACATCAAGTCAAGAGCAGACTGATTCACCTCATCTAGCCTATGTCTGGCTGAAATTATAGGATTTCTGGTCTAAGTGCTTTCTTTTTCACTACTTCTTGGCCAAAAAACAGTACTTTTATCTCCTTTCACTTTTCTAAATCTGCTCCAACTCTTCTCAGCTGAAGGTTAACAAGTCCGGTGATCACCGTTCCTCATGACTTTACATCAGGACATTCACTGATACAATACTCACCAAGAAGTCACTCCCACAGGCTTTTGTCTGTTTGATTTGGATGCTGAATCTCAACACAGGAGGTGTCAATGAGGTGTCCACCTTTCCCTGACAGTCCACAATGTCTGCGTTGTAGTTGAGGATCAGTAAGCTTTTGTTGTATCCGCTGTAGATAGCCGGGCAGATTTGAATTGCCAGATCAATGTATGACGTGCCACACACCACAGCGATATCAGTGTATTCTGATGGTGAAAAGACGTCATTATATTAGAAAAGATTCTGAAGTGATATTCATTCACTTTATGGAATAATCCAAACTACTATTCAGCATATTCAGATGGAGGAATTGTGTGAAACAAAATGCTGAAAATGATTCTGTATGTAAGGAACAATATAATAGAAAAGCTGAAATTCCATATCAAAAATACATTTAAAATGAATTGAATTGGTTGCAGAAAAACTGCGACCAATTTAGCAATATTAAATATTTAATGCTGGTTAGACTAAACACCTGCTAATGTTGTGAAATTTGGCAGTTTAGTTTAGGCACCAAAACTACTTTGTTAGGTTTAGGAAAAGTCCATGTTTTGTGTAAAAATTAGTATGTTAGTATAAATAATCAGCGTTGACTATTGAATGGGAACAGGTTGTGTAAACACATACTTACCAGTGCAATAAACACTCTTTCAAGTGTGTTAATTAAGTATCTGAAGTTAACTAAAATATGGCATCCCTAAAGGTCCACATCTGAACTAACAAATAATATGACCCTTTTATTATCCAATACAGAAATGTGAGCTTGAAGGTCAAGGTCATTTGGCATATGCTTTACAATCAGATTTGCTTAGGGCCTCTCGGCCGCAATACACAAGGAGGTCAGGATGAGGAAGCTGAATAAAGCCATCTTGCCGCTCTGCCTTTTGTGAACAAGCTGAGGCAAACAACCTCACATCAAACACAGAAAATCATAATAAATCCAACACAGCGCATAAGAAAACAAATGTAAATCCAGTGAACAATAAAGGTCCAAATTTAGATGCTTAATCCAGAGCGATCAGTTGAGGAGACTTTGTTTGCTTCTCAGCCTGGATTTTACTTCCTCAGTGTCGTTGCTGGTTTGTGATTATAGGGCAGTGGGTTGGTATATATGGTGAACATGACCGTGGTGTGGTCACAACACTGTTTTAGGATTGAATGAAAACAGGATCAGTGTCACTTTGGCGGGGCTGAACAAACTTTTTGTGGTGTGGTTATTTCCTGGAGGCAAATGATGAAACCTAACACAGAGTTACATGCTGAAACAATGTCCATATGGCTTTGTGAGTGAAATGCACCCTTTTATAGTAATCTTTACTCATTACCATTGACGGCAACATTGCCCAGCACCATTGCTCTAAAAGTTGCTCCATGTATCATCAACTTTAAAGCTGGAGAAGGCAACGTTGGAGAAACTAGCAAGAATATGAAAGTATCCAACCAAAAAAGTAACACCCCTTCAGGCCTCCCTCCAAAGCACATTTTCATGCACAGTGAGTGCCTGTGAGCCAAAGTACAAATTATTTAGAGCGTCATTTAAAATTAGGTTAATGTTGGGGTTTAACTGATTTGACTGACAAAAAGGATTAAAGGACTGTTGAAACCTGATCTTGTCAGGTGAGCCACAAACTTTAACACATGTCAAACATATGACACCACTCTGTCAAACACAGCACACATTATAATTATGACATGTTCAACCAAGTCCTCCTTTTCTCATGCCCACACACACTCCCTCATACAAATTTCTCAGGTCTTTAAAAATTAAGTTTTCTTTGGTCTTGACTTGCCTGAACTTGGCTTCAACGTGCAATGCCAAAACCCAGCCGCATTTCAATTTTGGTAAGAGGGTTTAATCAATTATCGCTGATAGTAAACTGAGAGGGGGGAATGATAGCATTTATTCCTCTCATTTCAGTTATCTGTGGTCATTGTGGACGCTGAATACATCACAAAATAACTGTTGAAATGAGGGATTAGAGTGATAAAGAGCAGTGAAAGCAGCAGAGCCGTGTGGGTCACAGCAACAGCCGCAGAGTCAGACATGTGCGACGCAGCTACCGCCGACAGACATTTATATAGGTCATCAGAAAAGAAAATCAATACAACAAAAAATGAAAGATTAATTCTAGCAGTCATCAAATGAGCTCTGGCAGTGCCTGGTATTTTGTTCATTTTGCTGGAGATTAGACACCCACAAGGCTATGACATTTCGAAAACTTTTACAGATATGTGCCAATATTAAAGAGGGATAATTCAACTTCACTGATTGGAGTCTGATAAATCATGCACATGGAAAAAGTTTGCCCTCAGGGCCTCTTACCAGAAAGCCTTACTACCTGGTTGTGTTTAGGCATCAAAACTAGTTATCTAGGTTTAGGAAAATAGAAAGGCAGAAAGCCTCTCTCCCTGAATGCAAACCTCTCCCACATGCTGGAGGAACTGGCATGAAACCATTATTCGTTATCTACAATACAATTATGTGTCATTATGCAGTCAACCATTAGCAAATGGCAGGTTGCGTTTACTGATTTTGATAAGGTGTACATATAAACAAATACAAAACAGTTATTGATATTAAATAGTACTGTATAAAAACCATGTATCTCCAGAACGTGTTGTGCATGTTGGACAGAGAGGACCCAAAAGCAACGCTCAGGTGAAGTTGGTTTTGAGGGAAAAAGGGGTTGAGGAAGTGGAGGTGAGGGAGAGGTGGATGCCGGGGGAATACAGGCACAGGGGACCGAGGAGCAAGTAGGGCAGAAGAGTCTGAGGCAAGGGAGCCGAGGAGCAGGTGGGACCCAGAAGGCTGGGGCGAGGGAACTGGAAGGCACCGGGGGCCGAGGAGGCACAGGAGAACTGACCAGGTGGTTGGTGGAGGAGTGTGGTGGCAGGCTGACTGAGAGGCACGAGGGGGAGCTGAGAGAGTACCGTGGAAGCTGCTGACTTGACGGAGGTGAGTGGACCTGGGGAAAGGCAGACAGACAGGGTTAGTAGCAGGGAAAACAGAACAGGGAACAGAAATGTAGCAAAAAAGGCTTGAGGCAAGTAGTGGCACCAGGTCAGGTGCAACGACGATCAAGCAGAGATTGTGTGGATTAAATAAATGTGGTTGAAATACTGGCAGGGATGGAGTTGATTGCGGGCAGGTGTGGCAGGCAGAGGAGGTGGCTGACGAGGTGCAGGTGTGGATCGTCAGCTGGGCTCAGGAGCAGCGAGAGAGAGAGGGAGACACAGAGAGGCAGGCCAAAACACAAGGGGAAACAGAATCACAAGAAAAAAGGAGAAATAAACAGGACACTCAGCATCAGCCGGGCTGCCACCACAACAGAACGTCAAGTTTTTATGAGCGCTTTGTGAATGTGCATTTTTTCAGACAATCCTCCGGGTTTGTAAAAAGTGTATTTAGATTCAGAGCTAGGCGAATTTTCTCAACCCATAAAGTAACAACTAATCCTTCTGTTTATCTGAGAAAATTCAAAATCAGCACATTTGATGATGCTTTGTGTTCAGTGGCAACAATATATCAAACAAATGTATAGCCTAATGTGTTGATTAAAAAAATTCTGCCACTTTTGAATCTAGCTCTGATCTTAATATGGGAACTGGGCAGTTCATATTCTTGACCTTGGAAACAGCAGCTGACCAAACAATCTCAACTAAAGGTCTACTTATACTTGCTTGTTCCTGAGCTTAAAATCGTATGTCAGGGTATTCAGATCTTCAAAGCTCTAATACCACAAACATAAGTGCTTGTTTTTTCACTTTGGTTTTTGTACAAATTAAACACATCATGTAACATGTTGATTAGTGAGCTTAAGCAGATTTTGACAGTTTGGACAAAGCAAGGCCAGCTGCTTCCTTATGTTTTCAGTCTTTATGCTAAGCTAACCATTGGAGATGGTTAGAAAGTGATTAAGGATTAGATCGTAGAGGTTACCAGCTGCGTCAGATCAGCCCAAAACAAAATGCTTCCTTGATGCTGACGTACTTAATCTAGAAATTGGAGAATTTTGAGCGGCTCCTCCAGCTTGACGCAATCTTGCAAAACAAGTATATTCTCATTTAGTTTTTCGTATGTGGCTATAATAGGCCTATAGTGCTCACTTCTACAATCATATTTGCCATAGTTGATAGGAGATGCGACTTGAAAAGAAACAGCCTTAGACTATAGTCTCTAAAATAAAATAAATAGCTTAAATATGTAATATTGACTTTTTGTTTCACACAGCTCCTTTGTTTAAAACAGAAAAACAAAACAGATGGTCAGAGATTGCACGCCCCTGGAGCATTTTGGTTTTAAAATGGAAAAACCAAAAAAGAGTTTTTTGTTTTTTCTGATTTAGTTTTGAAACGAAATAATCAAAGAACGAACCATACACTGAGCCAGGTTCAGGTGAAATGAAAATGTTTTGGAGACTGATGAAGACTTGGATGGTTTACTGAGCGGGCGAGGAGATACAGTGCCAGTATACAATGTGTGAACACATGGAATGCCAACATCAAATCTGAAGAATACTTCGTATCTGGGATATTTATCCTTCTTACACCTACAAAAATGTGTCCAGATAAGTTCATCGTTCACATCTATGTGTGTGAAGAGCATTAGTTATTGGTTCAAATCAAGACACATCGTGCGTCAAAACAGAGACCTTTTGCTATGTTTGAACCTCCCGTCAAGACTAAAACGGCGAAAATGAAGATCTAAAACGGAGAAGTTTATAAACGCTGTTGACCCCGTTTTTCGTTTTAAAACTGGGTAGTTTTAGTGCACACGGGCAAAAACAGAGTACATTTAAAACGATGACGCAGACACTCACGTTTGGCTCTGTGATTGGGTCTTATAAGTCAAAGCAGAAACAGCTGACGCTACTGCCAAGTTTTTGATTTGGTATTTTTATTAAAATATTTTGTACCATGCAAATAACACACATATCCTACACTTGTACTGTGCATGCCGTTGTTTACTTTGCAACAACTCCCAGTCTATTTTGCGTCGCTTTAAACTCCTATGTTACATTCAGTAACCGTTTCAGCTCGTTATTCGTCCATGCAAAATAAAATCTGGTGTGATTCTTAGTCTCCATTACTTTATTCTTTTGCCAAATCTTCTGTAACTACGGAATAGACCATCTGCTTCATGTTTACACCGGCATGTGCATGCCCAGTGTACGTGAACGACCACTACATGTGCGTTTTCAGTCATTTTAATATAGACGGAGATCAACTCTGATACACAGCTAAAATGCTGGTGTGGATGGAGATCATATTTGTTTTAGTGTGGATGGAGTCTGTCTGTAATGAAACTTAAAAAAACTTATGAAAATATAGATAATATCGGCCATGGGTTACCTAACAAATGAATAACAGTGCATCATTATCAAGAAAGCAGCATTAATCAGTTGACAAGGAGGCAAAGAGGAGAAACAAAGTCTGACCTTCTCTTTTTTGGATAGTACCTGGTTGTCACCTTTGGCTTACTTTAGCTCAGCAATTGACCCTATAATGACCCGAGGAATCCTGTGTCATAGTAATTATTCCTTCACAGTTGAAACATTCCTTTATAACACTGTAAACCCGAATAAGTTCAGAATACTCAAAATATTTGTGCAAACTGTTTACCTCAAACTTTTTTAGTGGTAATAATAATAAACCTTTCATTTAAGGCATACTAAATTACATTGATTCACTGATGCTTATTAAAATTAAATTCCACTTATTCTTTACTCAATAAATGTAATTGTGCACAGCTTATACTCTGAGGGAAATGTCCTCAAAAAATTTATTATGCTTGACTCAAATACTAATGGAAACTCACTCAACAAAATTACTACTAGTAAACTTAAAATTTACAAAATGCCCATTTTCAGATAGTAGTCCTCCAAAATAAAAATACAACTCCATTATTACAATTCAAGTTCTCTTTAGTTGTATAATCTTCTCACAACATCTTCCCGTCATTTCTACATTTAACAGACACATCTTGCATAAAGCTGAATAGACAAAGTAACTGAAGGCGTGATCAGATAATTAACCAGCAACAATTTTGAAAATCAATTTGTTTTCATTCTCTATTTCCAGATTCTTAATGAGATTTTTTTGGTTTTAAGTGATAATAACTTGAATCTTGAGCTAAATAAAATGTCCTTTTACTACTTATTTTACTGTCTTATGTGGAAAAAGCGACTGCATAATTTTATTCCATCAGCAGCACTTTTTCTTAAATAATATAAAAGGAAGCTTTGAAGGTGGAGTTTTATGGAATCATAAGCAAATAAAGATAGCTAATAAAGATTGTTTAAAATACTTAGTCCCACACTATGCAAATTGTTAAGTCAGGTAGACGAGGTAATGGAAAAATATCAGGGTTTCTGCAGGTTTCACCTGGTGAAATTTAAGACTTCTTAAGACTTTTTAAAGACCATTATGAATGAAATTAAGACCTATATCACGACTTAAAAAAAAGAAACGCACAAAGGAAATGCAGTCACAAAATAACTTGCAGAGTAAATCAATGTATTCAAATTAGGGTTGAGTGATGTCTACAAAATTTGCATCGGACAATGTCAACAATGAAACACCGGGATGGACGATGACATTGATAAGCTAAGTAATTAACAAGCTGGCATGTGGTGGACCTGCTGACGTGAAAAATGGATCAGCGGTGGGGGAGGAAAAAAATAAATAAAAGAGTTCTGTGTCTTTTCTGTGATTTTATAAAACATAACCTACTGCTAATGTATGAACTCAGGGGAGCAGACAGGGATACAGAGAGAAGCAGGGAAAGCCGGTGTGTTGGCAGTGAGAGACCAGAGGTAAAGGTGTGTGTGTGAGTGAGTGCAGGGAGAAGTCAAGACAGGTGCAAAGCAGGTACATTTACAAGTAAAAATAGAAATAATGTCCATGGAGATCAAAACATGCTTTCACAGGGCGGTATAATGTAAAAACTAAGATGGTATTTTTGTGAGGGGGATTGGGGGTCCTCCCCCAAGAAAATTATGTTTTCCAATAAAGAAATATGCAATTCCACATAATTTTGGAACATTGTTATTATCACATCTGTGAATAAGTAGGACAATCTACTGTAGACCAGATTTGGAATAAACTACACCCCAAAAGCTAGACTTGCTAAAATAAGTCTACTGGGGTTGAATTATAACCATTAGATCTGGAAAAATTCATTTGGTTAGTTTTGATGCTCTCCACAATGATTTTACATTCATTGCGCAGCAACAAGCTGTTATAATGGCAGGAAAACACATGACCTCAGAATCATTACAGATAGGACAGCTCATGTTTGCCTTTTGTTTCTTAATTTACTGCTTTATACATTTGTAGAAATTAACAAATAATAGGCAACATGAGAACCACCTCCCTTCTGTATTATTACAAAATTATTACAAAAGAATAATCTCCTCATTAGTTTAAAAGGACTAACGTTAGTTTGCATCCCTAATTTGCTTTAATGTTACTAACGTCAGCTTCTCCGTAGTAAACACCGTCCTCTCTTTTTAATTTAACCACACTATTAACACTGATCTTATCCTCCGCTAACTTTCACCGTCACTTTCTGCCACTCTCTCTTTTACATTCGCTCGTCATTTGAAGAATGAGGAGAAGGAGGCAGCCATGCGTTGAGTGTTACCGTAGCTAACTGCTAATCATTAATGATCGTGTGAAATTTTAATAGTGGCGCTCATTCATTAAGCAGCAACAGTAGGCTTCTAATACTTTGCTAGAAACTGGCTTTAAGCCCTAAGATCTGTTTTTCCATCCAAGAACCGATCAGTTTGCACTTCCCCATAGCTGAAGAAATAAATCCGTTTTATATCTGTGGTACAATCCGAAAGATTTGCAGCAATAACACGAAAGCTGCCTGCTGGTCTTTGTAGTCGTAATACAGCAAATTATATTTGGACCAGCGACAGAAAGAACTACACCACCATGGGAGGAAAAAACATTCTTGAGCGCTGCGGGGCCATTTCAATGAGCATTACAGGTGGCGTTACATGGACGCTGGAAAATAAATACCCGTTTAAAATTATTTAAAACCTAGAACACAAACTTTTCAATGTAAGACCCCGTGGAAACCCTGCAGGACGTCTACCTGAGGTGCTGTTATCAGAGTAGCTCCTTTAATCTGGAGGTCTCTGTGTGTTTGATTGTCCGAGTGACAGAAAGTGACAGTGAATCTCAGAGGAGAAAAATATTCTGGCAGTAAAAGTACGGTGTCGGTGTGTCAGGTAATAAATGCTTAAGCTTCTCCAGACCAAAAAAAGTCTGTTGTTCCCAAACGGCTGGAGAAGTGAAGCAGGTTAACAAACATCTCCCCTTCAGACTGGAAGCTGAGCAGGAAGCTAACAGAACGTCTTTTAGTTACATTTATAGAAAGTAATGACCTAAAGCCTCACCTGCTTTCTGGTCTATTTTCCTCTAAATGGGACCATAATTTACTAAATGATGCTGATGCTGTGTTGAAGAAGACTAAATTTATTAGGAAAGTGTTTACTGAGGTAATAAATCAGCTGAGAAGTAGCCACATTTTCTCATACACTTCTATTCGATCCAGTGGAGTCGCCCCAGTGCTCGCTGTTAGAGAGAATGCAGGTTTGAGGCTTCCCTTTTTCAAACCTGGAGGTTCCTGCTTGGTGAAGACACAAAGCTGCTTTCTGGTTTCACAAATCAGACACATTAAATATGAAATTTTCCGTTGTGGATTTGAAATGGACCAATCAAAGAACAAGACGCAGATTCAGGTTGTCCTCACACAGAGGAGCAGGTGGAGGTGGGGCTACGTACTGAGACGCTGCTGGAGGCGCTCTCCTCCTCGTTGTTGTTGGGCAGAACCGCTCCTTTCCGGGAGCGAGGCGAGGAGGCCGGAGCCTTACGGTGGGACTTGGGAGGCTTGGTCTGGGAATCCTCGTACTCCTCGACCCGGGCGAACAGGTCGCTGAACCTGCAGGAGGAGGAAGTGATATTATCAGCCGCCGCAATGATGTCACCCGTCAGTGTGTGTGTGTGAGTGCGTGCATACCTCATCTTGTGGACCTCGTCACAGCTGGCCTGATTGGCCAGTTCAAAAGTGCTTTCAGGAGTTTGTACATGAGTTAGCTATAGCTATATATGTCAGAGGTCGTACGCCCCTAGAGCAACTAGGGGTAAAGTGTCCTGCTATTATAAAAGAAAGTTAGCACTGCATGCTCATCGGTTAGAGATGAGCATGCACCAGAAGAGTTACTGGTGGCTGTTATGATTCCTTCTGTCTATACTGACTCTATAACGCTTTCTTAATCTGATTCAACTGTAAGAGGACAAAATTCTAAAGTTTATTAGAAACAGTTAAGATACTTCAGCAGTCTGACTTAGACAAGCCACAAAAAATATCGTAAGTATTTTTTAGAAGTTAGTCTTTCTGTGTTTATTTGCTGAGCTGCAGCAGTGGGATACTTCCTTCCAACAGTAAACCAACACAATGACCTAACAACAATATCCATTTAATTTTTTAACTAGACTGCTTAAGCCTTATTTAGCTTCAACTAAACTTAGCCTCCTAAAATCCTGTGTCCATGCACCATATACTCGATTCTGCTCAACTTAGTCGTAATTTGTCCTCAGTAGTGGGCACATGCCTGTGCCTTCTAGGGTCGCTCGCCAGACATGTTCTGATGTCGGTTTCTTCTTTGTTACACATTGGGTGCACATACTAATTTTTCCCTAAAAGTATGCCCTGTTCACAATGCTATTATATAAATACACACAGAATCAAAGCCCAGGTCTTGGGAGGTTTGGGAAACATTTTTTCATGAAAGGAAAAGAGTGGATTTGTCCCTAATTTTTAACAATTTGGCCATGCCTATGAAGGGGGATGCTCATAGCCAACAATAACCTTTTCACTGTACATATCATATTTTAGCATTGTTTTGAGACTACAAAAAAACACAAACCTATCCTTTCATCTCTTTAAACCTGTCCGTTGCTGGATGAGGTATTCATGTTGGTTTTCCATAGTACATTTCATTACATTTACATTTCATATTACTTGTCGTTGATATTGACATTTCTGTGAGTACACTGAGTACTTACATTGCAGGTTTTGAAGACGTCAGTCATCCGATAGCAGGTTCACTGGGAGGCCACGGAGGGTCGGATGGCATCTCACGTGTCCCTTATTATACAAATATTTTACAGCACATCAAGCCATAAAGTGTAACAGTTCTACCAATGTAATTCTAAAATAATAATAATATTGATAGCAATAACAACAAATCCATCCAGCTGCAACTACTAAAAGACAGGTCAAATTTAAACACACAGTGACTCAAACAATGGGTGAGAAATAGAAGCTAACTATAACCTTAAACATGACAATAGAAGAGATTTGGAAGCCAGTGCAGTAGGGCTGGACCCAAATATTTGACTATTCCTTCATTGGGTTGGTATTCAGTTTTCAATTTTGGGATGTGGAGATTCGCACAAGCATCAACAGTTTGATGCAGAAATATGCTAATGCATAACACACCTTGGATAGCTGTAGTGCCACTCAATACTCTGTTTGATCCTGCGAGAGCAAATATAACAAACAATATAAAGATTTCCCATGAGCCCAGTCAACAAGAACATTTTCAAATGCTGATTTTCTTAAAAAATACAATATTTTATAATTTATCTGACTCACCAATATCAGAGCTGCTTTCGCAAGTCAGGTAATTATAGCATGATGACATTCCTTCAGCAGCACTCTCTACAGTCCTTAATGGGCACACATATATGAACACCAACTTTTTATTAGTTTACAAAATAAAGCCATGTAAACACGTCTCACAAACATGTGATATGGCAGAGTATGTTGTGATATTTAGTCTTTAAGACTTAGTTACCAGTTTATTTGGTACATCTAGCTAATTTAATGGAGTCTAGCCAACATTTCTGCAATAAATCCTCCCATCATAAAATGATATGTTCAGTGATAAATTGAATATTATATGTGATGTAATATAAATGAAACATTCAGCCATGCATCAACACTATTTCAGGATACATCCTACCAAAATGTCTTTGAAGCTCGGGAAACAGCACTCAGTACACTTGATAGGACAGATTACAACAGATATAAGTTTAATTATAACATATTAAATCTTATCATACTAACTTATAATAGAATTGTTTATGACAGAATTGTTCTTTGGGGCGATTTTATATTCATGTTGATGACCCCCCAATGTTAATGCAACTGACTTTTTAAATATAACCACTTCTTTTAACTTCAAACAACATGTCAAGGGCAAACACATAACCGTGGTCATACACTGGACTTGGTTTTTTACCCTGGGTGTCAGCATTTCCTCTGTTAATAGTGGACATGACCAGTCTGACCACAGATGTATTGTTTTTAGCTGTGATTCGCCTGTTACTCATGCCGCCTCACCAAGCTCCGTGTGTTCCGCTTCTTTAATGAACAAAGTGTTTCAAAGTTTTGCGCATTCTTTTAGAGCCAAAGCCACACCTGTCTGATTCCAAACCAACAATCTGGTCGATCACATCAATCATTCTGCTTGTCGTCACTAAATTACTGCTCCTCTAAAGGTTAGGCCTACGTCTAAAGCTAGTAAGCAACCCTGGATAAATGACAGCATTCGCAGCCTAAAAAGGGAATGCAGGAAAGCAGAGCGCAGATGGAAAAAATCCAGTCTCCAAGTCCACCTCAGTCTGAAGGATTTATCAATTAATACAATAACTTGGTTAAGGATGCGAGAACACACTATTTTTTCTGAACTCATTTACTACATAAACACATCCCAGGTTTCTGTTTAAGACTGTGGATCAGCTGGTAAACCCAACCCCTCCTTGTGCCTCAGCTGGAAGTAATGATGACTGTGAATTGTTTTTATCTTATTTTACCAATAAGGTGGTGTCAATCAGAGCCTCTATTACCCCCGCGGCCTCTTACTCAGAGGTTTCTCACCAGCAACAAGAGAGTTTTAATGAGTTTTATCACATCGACTTGTCTGAGCTTTTAAAAACAGTATCACAAATGAGAGTGTCCTCCAGCCCTTGATGTAATACCTACAAAGTTTTTACTGAAAGTAATAGATTCTGTTTGGGCCCCATTGATCTCTGTTTTCAACAGCTCCCTATCTACTGGTTGTGTCCCTGATTATTTTAAAACGCTGCGTGAACCCCTTTAAAGAAACCTGGTTTAGATCCCTCCCCCACATAAGTTTAGACCAATTTCAAAACTGCCTTTTGCAAATTCTAGAAAGAATTGTGTCCAAACAGCTGCTCACTGTGCTGGAAATAACAAAATATTTGAAAAGTTTCAGTCTGGTTCAGGAAGTACCCACAGCACTGAGACTGCCCTGCTTAAAGTCACCAGTGACCTTTTAATGTCTGCTGATGAAGGTATGTCTCAGTCCTGGTACTCCTGGACCTTAGCGCAGCTTTTGACCTAGATGGTTTCATCCTACCTGTCAATAGGAGTTTTGCGGTCTGTACAACTATGTCTCCTTGTCGTCCAGTTAAATATGGTGTGCCTCGGGGTCGGTCTTAGGACCCATTTTGTTTTCCTTGTATCTGCTTCCCCTTGGACATATTCTCCATAAACATGGCATTTCTTTTCATATTTATGCTGATGATGACACACAATGTACTTGCCCGTCAGATCCACAGACCCTGGAATGCTGAGTTCACTTAACAAACTGCCTTTGTGAAGTTAAAAAATGGATGTCAAATAATTTCCTCCAGCTGAACTCAGACAAAACAGAAATCCTGGTCATCGGGTCCCAGCAGATGGCAAATCAAATACTGCCATCTGCTGGTTCCCTAGTAAATCACATTAAGCCTGTGGCAAAGAACCTTGGTGTTTGGTTTGATAGTAATTTAAATTTCGGCAGCACCCACAAAGCTTGTTCAATCATGTTTTTATCAACTTAGAAATATAGCAAAATTTGATTTATGTTAACTTTTAAAGACACCGAGACCATTTTACACGCCTTCATCTCATCATGCCTGTATTGCAACAGCCTTTTCACCTGTTTAACCCAAAATCTATTGCGACTCCAGACTGTCCAGAACTCAGCTGCCAGGCTTTTAACCAGAACAAAGAAATATGACCACATACTCCTATTTTAGCTTCATTACACTGGCTCCCAGTATGTTTTAGAATTGACTTTAAAATTCTATTGATCACTTTTAAAGCTCTTCATGGCCTCTCGCATCGCCTTGTTATATTTCTGACCTTTTAGTCCCATACACACCAGCACGTACCTTGAGATCCTCGGGCAGAGGTCTGCTATCTGTTCCAAGTCTCGACTGAAAACTAAAGGGGACTAAAGGGGACTAAAGCGTTTGCTGTCAGGGCCCCGAGGCTCTGGAACAGCCTGCCCGAGGAAATCAGGTCGGCTGAGTCAGTGAACTCTTTTAAGTCCCTTCTTAAAACATACTTTTATAGGAGAGCCTTTCCCGATCTTATTTGATTTTATTTTATCCCTTTTATTTTTATTGTATTTTACTAATTTTATATTTATCTGTATTTCAGTCTTTTCAATGTTTTCTTGCTTTCATCTTGTATTGTTTTGTATTATTGTCTCTTGGGTATTATTGTCTTTACACTTGTTAAAGCACTTTGTAACTTGTTTTTGAAAAGTGCTCTACAATAAAGATTATTATTATTATCATTACTTAATAATTACACAGTTCCACTGATCTGACTTGAAAATCTCCCAACTGGAGGTGTTTCATATCATATTTAAACTATATCAGTGAAACTGGGCTCTATGTTCCACATTATGAATATTTTTTACTTTTACTTTTTTAAGGACCATACATCTTACTACAAACACTGCGTTCAGAAACCGCTTGTTAACTTATATGAAGGCAGAGCTTGACTGTCTCCACAGTAACGTTTCAGGACTAAAGTAAGAATAAGTTACAGCATTTCAGTGCAAAGTGAACATGAACGCTACCTCATTGTGTTAGCAAGCTAACTTCAAGTAACATTAACGTTAGCCTTTCTGTTAACATTACTGCGCCTGAAAACAGAACTTTTGTGTGTTGACGACTGTCTGGAAAGGTTTCAG